GAAAAAAAGGGACCAGACAACCTGCTTTCCTGAGCAGAACAGGAACCCTCTGCTCCCTTTCAGCAATGCCATTCTAGCTCAGGAGAAAGCTCCCCAAGCCCCTGGCACCAGACCCCTGCCCCAGCTGGCCCAGGACCCCCTCAAAGCCCATCAGCTGGGAATCAGGGCTGATTCCCAGCACTTGCATATGGTTTCTGAGCAGCACAGCCCCAGCCCATAAGCCGTTACAGGCATCAGCTCAGCAGGTGCTGAGCATGCAGCTGACACCCTGCATTTTCCATGTTCTGGCTTTGATTTCACAGGGCCAGCACTGCCCATACATCAGCCCCGACTCATGGCTCGCCCAACCCGGGCAGCGATGTAACTCCAGCTCTGCAGGGAGGTGCTTCTCAGACACTCGGGTGCATTTGCTCCATCACCAAGGTTAGTGTGGATTAAGCCATAGCACAGCTGCTGCTGGAGGCCAGCTGTAGGTGCTGGCAGCATCTCCCCACACAGTTCTGGCTGGGAAGGCTTCCCATGCCAGAGAGGCTTTCTTCATGCTTGGAGCAAGAGCCTTCTGTAATCACAACTGAAGCAAGACACAGTCTCTGCTTCAAGGCTGGAGTTTTGCTCAGGGCTCGGTGCTATCAACTCCCATGGCCATTTTTTGTTCCCCATCTATTTTCTTAAAAGCCTCAAATAGAAGAGGTGTGCTCAGCTAGGAATGTCTGGGCCCTGGTTCAAGCTCAGTAGGCTTTTAGTCTCTTGAGCTGGCTGCAAAAAACCTGAACAGAGACTCCTCATGAACCCACAGAGCCAGAAAAGAAGAGGCAAAGAATAAAATGTCTCTGATTTTTGTTTGAAATGAAAAGCCAGTAGCAATCTTTCAAACCCTTGGAGACAGCAGCGCTGCCCACACCCATTGGAGGCAGCCAGATCGCAGCAATGGCCAGGGTGACCCCTCACAAACCCAGCCAGGAGCAGGGCAGGGGTCAGTACATTTGCAACAGTCCGGAGCTGTGTGCTTGGCTGGAGCACAGCCGCCCTCCTCCTCTCACAGTGCACATGGCGCCTACCTGCCCTGCCACAGGGGCTTCAGAGAGCGCTGGCTTTGTCCTGCCCTCATTCCTTCCCTGCAAGCTCCATGCCTGGGGGAGCAGGGAACACCCAGGCCAAGGCTAACGCTGCCTCTTGCCCTCTGCTCAGCAGAGTCGGCTCCCAGCCTCCTTGCATCATCCCTTTTGCTTCCTTCCATGACCCCCGCCATGGTGGCAGAGTGGGGCCCAGTTAAGGATTCCCAGCTAAAGTCTAATCCCTCTGGCTATTTTTAAACCCCCATCCTCATTCCAGTCCTTTGTACCCAAATGTAGAACAAAAGATGAGCCATCCCTCCCCAAAGCCCCCCTGTGCAAGGGAGGCCGCTCTCAAGTCAGGCACTGACCCCACAGATTTCTTGGCGTGACAAATGTGCTGAACAAAAGGCAACAGCCCTGTCCCCCAGCACAGTGGCCATGGGGACAGAGCAGCAGAGCCAGCACAGTCCCCTCACGCTAGGGATTTGCCCCAGCTGTATGGGTGGCTGCTTCATCTCCGATGCATCCTCCCTGCGCTTGCTCCAGCCCGCTTTCCCCCTCTGCATTACGCTTGCTGCCACGGGAGTGCGCTGAGCAGGCAGGGCAGGGCTCTCCCCGTTTCTGCTGCAGAGAGGGGAATGCAAGAGCAAGGTATAAATATACACAAAGATTAGCGCTTGCACAGCCCTCTGCCCTGGAAGAAAGTGTTGAGTGTCACCCACAGCCCACATTCCCTTTCTCTCTGCTCCCCAGCTGCCTCTCCTGTTTCCAGCCCCAGGTTCACAATCTCCACAGCCAGCACTTTCATTTCATTCCTCCCTCCACCCCCATTCCCCTCTTGAAAGGGAGAAAATAATAGAGCCTTTGTTGGGTTGCTGCGGTGCCTGCACCGAGCAAGGAGCCACACAGGGGTAAGGGGTTGCCGGGCACGGCTGACTGACTGGATTACGGGCTTCCTGCCACTT